CTCACTCAATAGTTTCTTCTTGACTTGCCTTGAATATGTTTGCGATGTGTGTTATGTGTGTTGTGGCAGAAAATGTCCATCCTTTCACGAACACCTTTAATCACCAATAACTGAAAGATGTGAGCTTACTATAAAGTTGAAAATGTAAATTTAAATTGTATATTTTTATATACCTATCCTATCTCACGACCTGCGGTTTTGTGATCTAAACTCGACAGCGTTGTGAATGCCAGAAACCCTTTGGTATGGCTGATAAAGTGTCCTGTTGTCAAGCCAAACCAGCAAAATTAGAAGTTGAGTCTGGTATCATTGCAAAGAACATCGACCCGTGAGGGTCCGGGTTAAACCTGGTCTTCAGCAAATTACACCCGTGAAGATTCGGGTTAGAATGAATCTTCGGTAACCCATTCTTTTCTTGTTGACTTGGTTGACACATGTCATCGTATCCCAATTGTGTAGACCGATGCTCATGCTATTAAATCCCAGGATTGTCTGGTCCAGACTCGATTATTTACAGACCGTCGCGATATTGCTGGAATACCGATGAGTTCGGTGTTAAACAACAAACCAACCAATCACCAACGAATATCGTTTCTGCCCACAAAAGCAGTCACACGTTGACCAAACGCAGATGATGTTGGGTTCAATGATGACATTGTTGGTGGTGACGTTGGCAGTAACGTGAAATGGAAGTTCGACGACATATGATTACCGTCACTGACGTCGCCTGACATTGGATGACATAGACTATCAAATGTTAATGGTACCTGCTGTTGGTGCTGGTTGATGCTGCCAGTGACCTTGATGTGTCACGCGGATAAAACGCCCTGTTGTAAAAATGTAACCATCGGCCATCCAGAACGAAACCGATCTTGGATACTAACTCTCAGTTTGTTTCGATGCGACCAATCTGATGATAACTGACACAAGTGGTCGAAATTGTCTCGCCATTGAAATTAGCCCAATGCATCTCTGACGTTCGGTTTACTGAATCACAGTCCTTGTCTTTCCCAAACTGTAATTCTTCAACTGAAAGTGTATTTATTACGCTGCGCCCATCAATATTCCAGCTATTTGGTGTCAGTCTGCAAATTATCACAGAGCAGGAACACTGCGAGTGAGACAACAAATACAACAAAAACTCTCTTGTCATGAGTGAGTGAGTGAGTGAGTGAGTGAGTGAGTTATTATTTAACGTCACATCGGCAATATTTCAGCCATATCGTGACGAGAACACTTGACATTGAAATAGAATATATATAAAGATTATAAAACCTGCCAACAAAGGACAGTAAAGCAACTAGAGTATCACAGATATATATGTAAAACTAGTAATTGAATCTAAAACATTTTAACTATAGGGGACAACACAATATAAAAATGGGCTATAGATCGCTAACAACTGAAGGTAGATCCCCATTCTAGGGACCATGGGGACTTACAGTACATTTGCTTCCTGCATGGGCCCTAGCTGGATCTCTTGTCATGAGCCTTGTGCAGAGTGCAACTCGTATTACAAATGTTGATAGGATATTGATTTAATGTAATTATGTACATCCATTGTCGACAGGTTCTACTTTTCAAAATGTTTTTATCACTTTTGCATAAATTGTTTTCGTCACAAATATGGCTGAGATATTCCCAATGTGACGTTAAATATTAACTCACTCACTCACTCATCAACAAGAAACATTTTCTGTCTTATGTGAACTGACTTCATCTTCTGATCTGTTGGTGAGAACGTACAAAAACCGATTTCACACAGACGCTTATTCATTAAAAATACATCCCGATACACAGACAGACTGCATAGATCGCAGAACAGTGATGGATTAATGCGCAAGGCTGTTGTGTACTATTTCAAAACTAGAAACGGTGATTGTTATTTTTCAGTGTGTTATGGATTTGTAACACAAAAGCAAAGAAAACGGGTACTGTCACAATTTCAGTCGTGATATTGATTGAGTATCTACAAAAAATGTCTTATGACGCTTGAAAAAGAACGGAAAATAAGAAAAAACAACGTCCAACACCTCAACATTTAGAAAACAACTTTAGTTATGTGCTGCATTTGACAATGCTTATTCACTATGGGCAATTGTTATTTTCCTTCTACCTAATACAATGAACGGTGACGGAATGCTAACACCGCGAACGCTGAGTTCATTTTAAACCATTTGACAACTAATTATAGTCTAATACAACACATTCTTTTCAAAACATACTCCTCTTGACAAGAAATAGGTATACTTTTGGCGGAATTCCAAAGCCAACGTTACCACTGCAACATTCGCCGGGGTGTGTTTTAATATGTAAGTGAGTGAGTTTAGTTATAAGCCGCTTTTAGCAATATTTCAGCAATATCACGACGGGGACACCAAAATGGGCTTCACACATTGTGCCCATCGGGGAACTGAACTCGGGTCTTTTTTATTTACTTATGGAATCCCCCTAGCGTAGACCGTAGTCTAGTAGTGAACTCTACTGCTATGTCTCTATAAAAGCCTTGCTGTTTTGTCATGCCAGAGTGAATGAACTGGAATATTGCTGAATCCAACCAATCATTATTTTCATCAAGTAACTAGAAACTTGTTGTGATGATAGAAATAAGATGCTATATATATATTTCATTGCAACCACTGAGTCAAAATAGAAACTTCACAAAATGTAATATGAAAAATGATGAATAGTTTTTCTCTGTTGATACATCTATGTATCCGAAATGGGATCCCTATCTTTCGACTCTAGAAAAACGTTAGCAAAACCCACTCAAACCCAGTCATTCGTCGTGCAAATGACGTTAGTGCCAAATCAGGTTTTGCACGTGCAGTCGATCACGTGATCTTCGCATCGAAGTTTTCTTCATATGCACGTGTTTGCATTGGCCTCAAGAATTGAAAAAAACACTTTCAAACCACAGTTCTAACGGTACTTGAAATGCCACGATTGTCAAATGTGCAACGTGAACGTGCCATTGGCATGTTGCAAGCGGGAAGATCAGTTATTGACGTCGCAAGAGCAATGGGATGCAGCCGTCGTACTGTGTATGACTTGCGAGGTTGTCTACAACAAACTGGCACCACTTCTGATCGCCCAAGGTCGGGTCGTCCACGTGTGACGTCACGAGCAGAAATCGTCCTACGTCACCTACGTGACAGATTTCTGCCGGCTACACGAACCAGGGCTGAGATGTTTAGAGGTTGACTGTCCTCACAGACCATTCGAAATCGGTTGCGGGCTGCCAATCTCAATTCTCGACGTCCATATCGTGGGCCAATATTGACGCCGTTTCATCAACGTCAACGTCTGCTGTGGGCCCAACGTCACCTCCGATGGACCCAGAGAGACTGGAATCGAGTCGTCTTTAGCGATGAATCCAGGTTTACCCTCAGATTCGCGAACAGCAGTCATAGAGTCTGGAGACGACGTCGCGAACGGTATGCCCAATGTTGTGTACAGGAAGTCGACAGATTCGGGGGCGGAAGTTGCATGGTGTGGGTGCTTTGTGTGGGAACAACCGTTCCCGACTTCTGGTCATCCGTGGAAACCTCACAGCTGCTAGTTACCGCCACCAGGTGCTCATCCCTGAACTCGTTCCTTTCATGGCGGCTCATGGCCCAGGTCTACAGTTCCAGCATGATAATACTCGGCCGCATACAGCGATGTTGACACGAAATTTCCTTCAAAACGCTGGAATCAACGTCATGGACTGGCCATCGAAGTCCCCTGACCTTACTCCAATAGAGCACGTTTGGGATGCACTTGGGAGAAGGCTTCGTGGTCTTAGGAACCAACCTCAGAATTTGCAGGAACTTGGCGCTGCCTTGCAAGAGCAATGGCGCAGAATCCCCAACCACGTGTTCTCAAGCATCAGGCAGTCGATGAAGAGACGGTGTTTGGCTGTGGTGAATGCGCGGGGCGGCCATCCACGATATTGAACTGAAAATTTGGCATTTTTATTCTTGTGACTTAACCATCTTACCATCTCTTGTTCTTTTATAGTGCCCTGAAGAAATAATGTGAAGTTTCTTTTTTGACTCAGTATATAAAATAATATAAAAAAAGCAACTGGTTGTCAATGGGTAAAAACAGTCATAACGTCCATCATATAACTGACCACTAGTTTCGTCAGTGGATAAAAACAGTCATAACGTCCATCATGTAACTGACAACCAGTTGTGTTAGGGGGTAAAAACAGTCATAACGTCCATCATAACCGACAACCAGCAGTGGGTAGTTGTCATAACGTCCAGTGGGTAAAACCACAGTTTCATAGACGTCCATCATAACGTCCATCATATAACTGGCAACCAGTTGTGTCAGTGGGTAAAACAGTCATAACGTCCATCATATAACTGACAACCAGATGTTTCAGTTAGTGGGTAAAACGTCAGTCATAAACGTCCATCATATAACAGTGGCAAAACAGTCATAACGTCCATCATATAACTCCAGTGGTGTCAGTGGGTAAAACAGTCATAACGTCCATCATGTAACTGACAACTAGTTGTGTCAACCATAACGTCCATCATAAAAGTGGCAACCAGTTGTGTCAGTGGGTAAAACAGTCATAACGTCCATCATGGTAACCAAACAGTCATGGGTACAGTCCAACTGGCAACCAGTTGTGTCAGTGGGTACAAACAGTCATAACGTCCATCATGTAACTGACAACTAGTTTCGTCAGTGGGTATAAACAGTCATAACGTCCATCATATAACTGGCAACCAGTTGTGTCTGTGGGTATAAACAGTCATAACGCCCATCATATAACTGGCAACCAGTTGTGTCAGTGGATATAAACCGTCATAACGTCCATCATGTAACTGACAACCAGTTGTGTCATAACTTTCTTCAAGTACAGTCGAACCCCAATGTTTCGAACTCGGTTGAGACTAATTCTCGGTTGAATCGAACTCATCTCTCGGTTTCTGCCGATTTTACTATATTTATTATTATTTTTACCTTGATGTCTGGAACTACAGTGCCACTGTGCTTTTCGCGCTGTTCCTTTAGGTGCCAATGCGCCAATGTAACAAACTAGGAAAACGCACAAAAAAATGATGACAGTTTCATAAAGAGCTTTCTTTTATTTTGGTGACACAAATTATGCATTTTTTTCTGGAGTATGTCTGTTGTTTTTATTGCAGTCCGCGTTAGTTTGATTCTTTTATGTCTATTTGATTTTGTGTTACATTGCAATTCATCGGTGACGGATGTGTCGAACACTCGGATAAGTCGAACTTATCCTTTGGTCCTTACGAGTTCGACACAACGGGATTTGACTGTAACTGCATCTAGTTGTACTGTTACGAATACACTAATGTTTATTCTATTGCAACCAGTTGTGTCATTTTGTATGAAATGTGTGAGTTTGTATAGAATCACAAATATTGCATCATCTATCTAAGATAATAGTTTTGTATATTTGAATAAACTAAATGTTTAGTATTATTAACAAACTGGCAACTGGATGTGTCACATTGAACACATTGACACATGTCCTCATCTAACAAACAATTATACCTAATTGTGTCATTTCGTTTAAACTGACATATTTTTCGTCAACTTCAAACTGACTGTCATTAGGCATGACCTCTGTCGCCACCGTCTTAGACTTTCTCCTCCATGACGTCCATGCCTCCCATGTCGATGACGTCGTAAATGTTGACGTCAAAGTTGCTGAGTTGTACATACTCGGCCTCCTCCTCCAGGTGTTGTTCGATAGTCTCGGCCAGTTTGGAGAAGGTAGGCCTGTCTCCCGGGTGAGTCCGCCAGCACTGCGTCATCAACTTGTACCTGTAGGGAGGGAAATAACACAATAGCATATATAGCACCGAGACCTTGATCTTTAGCAACTCATGCGACTAACATGTTGGTTAACAGATGTGATACATGGTTGGCACATGTCATCGTATGCCAATACAAATGTATACAATTATTGACTTCTAGTGAGGTTGATCCAATGATTTACCGACCTTGGACATGTGATTTATCGACCTTGGACATGTGATTTATCGACCTTGGACATGTGATTTATCGACCTTGGACATGTGATATTCACCATGGCAAAGCTTTGGTGAATATCGCATGTCCAAGGTGGATTAATCATTGGATCAACCGAACTGAAGTCAATAACTGTTGTATTATATGACAAAAGTACTGAATACCTGTTCTTCTGTGACATAGGAGAGACTAAATATAATCTGGAATAAGCTTACACTGACTGACTGACTGAGTTTGGTTTTACGCTGCTTTCAACAATATTCAATCAATATCACGGCGGGGTACACCAGAAATGGGCTTCACACATTGTGCCCATGTGGGTATTCGAACCCGGGTCTTCGGCGTGACGAGCCAACGCTTTAACCATTAGGCTACCCCACCGCCCCGGAATAAGCTTACAGCTTTCAGAGGCAGTATTAGAGAATAAAAGCAATTTTAGGTCTTAGTGGCACCTGCAGTTGCCCTTCTGGTGTTGCATGCATCTTTTTCCTCCAATAGACGATTTATTTCTTCCTGTGACACAGTCATGAACTCTAAACCAACACATACACAGGGACGAAGCGAGGCCTATCAAGCGTGACGCACGCAGTGCGGATTTCACAGCCGGAATATCCCAAGTCTATTTTTAGCCACAGGAGGAGGAGGAGGAGCTTGGATTGTTATATGAACCTCTCAACAGGTTGACATATTTTAGCGTCAAAGCTGTCATGTTAGCAAGTGGGCCAATCAGAAGGGCGGAAATCTACCCGTTGTGTAATAATTGTGTAGATCGATGCTCATGCTATTGATTACTAGATTGTCTGGTAGAGGCTCGATTATTTACAGATCATCGCCATAAATCTGGAATATTGCTGGGTGCGTAGTAAAACTAAATTCACTCACTCACTCACTCACTCGCAAAAGACCCCCGGCTTCTTCCTGGCGTGCTGTTTCACCTCGTTTGTTGACACAATTACCTCTCCTTTGAGACTTTGAAAATAATGATAATAATAGATAATACAGAAAATCAAGTGAATATCATGCCAACTCAGGTGAGTCTCATTCCAGTAGAACGTGTCTACAACAACTGAGCACCCAAGCTTCCTCTTCGATACGAGTGTTTGTTTAACGACGCACTCAGCAAATTTAGCTATTTGATGTGGTCTGTAAAGAATGGAGTCAAGACAATCCAGTAATTGACATCATGAACTTCGACCTGCCCAATTGGTAGGTCGAGTCTGACCACCCGATCCTGTTAGTCGCCCCTTGCAACAAGCATAGGTTGCTGAAGACCAGTTTTAACCCGGATATGCACAGGTCCTTCAAACCCCTTACACAGATATACCTAATTTGTCATACAGACCCTCAAACAAATGTATCCAAAAAAGCCTGTGAAAAACTGGAATATGTCTAGATAACCACAGTTTCTGAAAATGAACAAAGTCTCTTGGCTAACTTTTTTCATTATATTTTATGATTATCATTTATGAACCTTTTTTGTCTGTAAAATATGTCCATTTCAGGGACTAAATGTTAGGCTAAGATATACCGAGAACAGCGTTTCGTCCTTAAAGATCACCTCTTATGACAAGTTTGGGTTGATGAAAACCAAATCAAGCCGGATCCTCACGTGTTCTTCAAAACACAGAAATACAAAATTACGATATCCAGAAGAGAACGTTGTCTTTTAAGATCGGATTCCTCGTGTAGTTAGATCAAACACAATGCGGATATGTGGCAACTAAGCATGAACTTAACCAGACCAAGCATGGGTAATGAACGGAAGAGATTTGTGTCCGCAAACGTTTTCACTTGTTTCTTCTTCTGTTTGATCTGTCATTGAATCATCCCTGGATCTCTAGTAATGCAAATGTGGAGGCCATATAATTCCGAATCCCCATAAAGGGGAACCACGGACCTTTTGATCCTTAGCCGGACGCCTTGTCCACATGACTAAAGAGTTTAAACCGTTAGCAAGCTGAAAAAAATAAAGATGTCATCTGTGGGATGACTCCACGCCCTGCTACACAAACATTTACTTCGTATTGAACTTACACGTGATCCGAGCAGTAGTCTGGCTTTTCCAGCCTCTTCCCATCTTTGACCGACATCATCACCTGCCGGGCTGACTGACCAGAGTAAGGGCTGGCTCCTGGTTCAGAATAGACATCAAAGGCTTTAGTATAGTTTACGCAGCTTGTAGCAATATCACTCTTGCACTTGACTTATTGTACCCTTACAGACTGACTCCTGGTTCAAAATAGACATTGGAGGCTTTCAATCCAAGGGACATTACTTCATTTCCATCAAGGCATATAAACCAGTTTGTGATTAGACGAACAAGTGTGATCACGACTTGTATCGTCAAATGCAAAACCTTAAAGAATTGAAAATTGACCATTAGCCCACCAGGAAAGTCTGGGAAACTTCACATTACCGAGGTCCAAACAATCTTTTTTCCAGCTCATTCATAGCTCTTTCCCATTCATGATCTATCGAAACGAAGAAGGTTCATCGTTGAGTTTTTACATTGTCGGCCTTTTGAAGAATAAAATATATTATTCAAAAGACGAAATGCGAATAATGACCGAACTATGACGTTGTTGTATTGCTATATTGTTACGCTTTGGTTAACTTTGACTCTTCTTACTGGTCTCTATACGGGCTACAACACGACAATGATCTGTCTAGGATTTCATTATTATCTGTATAAAGGTAGTGTGATCACATACCGAGGGTGACAACCTCCCAGAGGAGGACCCCATAGGACCACACGTCAGACTTGAGAGTGTACAGCCGGTCTGTCAGAGACTCGGGGGGCATCCACCTAATTGGGAGAGGGCCCTGAACAAACAAGTGATTAAATAAGCCATGGAGACATTCATTGAATGGGGACGGGTCCTTGAACAAAACAGTGATGTAATACGTTATGGGGACATTAATCATATAAGGACGGGTCCTTGAACAAAACAGTGATGTAAAAAGGTAGTGGGAACATTAAACAAGTTGGTACGGGTCCTTGAACAAAACAGTCATGTAATTCATTATGCGGACATTAAACAAATAGGGACGGGTCCTTGAACAGTGATGTAATACGTTAGGGGGAGCATTAAACAAATATGGACAGGTCCTTGAACAAAACAGTGATATAATACGTTATGCGGACATTAAACAAATAGGGACGGGTCCTTGAACAGTGATGTAATATGTTAGTGGGAGCATTAAACAAATATGGACAGGTCCTTGAACAAAACAGTGATATAATACGTTATGCGGATATTAAACAAATGTGGACGGGTCCTTGAACACACCTGTAGTGCCACAAGCTATGCGGGAATTCAACAAATAGAGAAAGGTCCTTGTACACACGTGTGCTGTAATATGTTATGGAGACAGTGAACAAATAGAGAAAGGTCGGGTCAACAAACAAAACCGGGGGTTGGGGTGGGGGCATGACACAAAAAGGGGCAGCTCCTTGAACAAGCAAATAGGAACGAATCCTTAAACAAACTAGAGAAGTAATATTGTATTGGGGAATACTACAAAGACATTATGAACAAATAAGATTGATGATTAATAGTTTGTGGAATGATTTTATGTGTGCTTAGATAATATTGAAAATGGTTATGAGATTATTTTCTTTGCTCAGTCCTGGTTTGACTGACTGACTGACTGACTGAGTTTGGTTTTACGCCGCTTTTAGCAATATTCCAGCAACATCACGGCGGGGAACACCAGAAATGGGCTTCACACATTATGCCCATGTGAGTCCTGGTTTGAAGAACCATTTGGTGAACAGTGTAATTTTCATCTCTCATTTATTTCACATATCCTAGGTCATGTAATATCACATATCCTAGGTCATGCATTGTGTTTCCCACAATGTTCCGCCTGAAAGTCTGAAATACTTATCATTGTCGACACTTCGTATTCGTCACTCCCCTCCATGTCACGTGACAGACCAAAGTCGGAGATCTTGCAGACATTCCCTAGTCCAAGGAGAACATTCCTGGCAGCAAGGTCTCTGTGAATTATCTGTGAAATATGTCAACATGGCAATAAGCAAAACAATGATGGAAGGTCGAAGGGGAACGGACTTGAATTTAGTCTGTCTCACAGTCCCTGAACCATATTATTTTCCCGGCTGCCTAGATTCTCTGCAATGCTAAAGCCTTAAATGAAGCAAGTCTAGATCTCCTCAGGTTCTGGTCTCCCTGCCGCTCCTTTTCAATTTAAATGGGTTTGTTACTATCAAAATTATATATATTCAGACACTAAGCGTTAGTCTAACTTGAATTTATCCATTTCTCTTTATTGTCCATGAGTTTGATGATGGCAAGTGGCCCAAATGTACTATGCCAATATGGAACATATCATTGGTCAAATAAAATTAATTTTGGATATTTAATCGAAATCATATTATCATGTGAATATATTAATATATTATAATAATAGGTTGTAAGATATGTATTAAGATATATAAAGGTGACATGAAACATTGACAAAATAGGTAAATACGGGATGTAACATTAGGTACATTATATAAGGTTAATTTGGGAAATTTAGTTGACAAGATTATGTTATGTGAATACGGAATTTCAGTACGTTACTCCTCTAATTATGCGAGGGTAATATGAAGCATTTTGAAAGTATTGAAAAATGAGGTAAATATTTTATCCTTGATAATGTAAATGGATGTATATATGTCTACATATATGAAAATAGTGCTTTTATGAGCGCATATATGAGTACCAAGTAATAGTTATTTTGATAACGGTAAAATAATCTGTACCGACATTTCGCCATATATATAAATAAAGAAGTTTTAATCCATACAGTTGCTACTTTGTTATTATCCAATTTCTAAAGATGCCTAACAAGCAATTTATATTATAAACGGTGCCCATTCCCTCGGCATAAATAGATGGCATTAATGCTATTGACAAACGTTTATGAGGTTGGTACTTACCGTTAAGCGATAAAAATATGTGACTTTCATACCTGATATAGTATTGTTTCGACTCTAGGCAAAAAGACTGAGTAAAGTGTTAATTGATTTTGAAGTGTAAACATTTTCAAATACAATAAAGAAAATCATTCATACATTTTGAGAGGCAATGTGCGCCATTCCTTTTGCAATCTGTAGAGCGAATGAGGACAAGTCACGTGATGACAATATATTCATCTGTTCCATGCCATCATTTCCTTCAGACTTCCGTTCTTCTTTGGCCTCTCCAGTTTCTTCTCGCTCTCCACCGGTTCCTTCGCCCGTCACCTCTTCATCGTCCTTCACCTTCTGGGGACGTCTGTTTCTAAGAAACTGCAACAGGTTTCCTCCAGGAACGTATTCCATGATCAGTAGAGAGGGCTCTGAAAAGACAAAAAGTTAGAGATAGATAGAGAGCGGGAGACAGCATGTGAGAGGGAGCCTGAGGGGTTAAGGTGGACAATTAGAGATGAGGGAGTTGGAAACAGAGGGTGATAGAGGAGGAAAGAGGGAGGGGAGATAGGGTGTAGGGAAGAGAGAGGGAGTGAATTAAAAGGGAGTAGATCACCATACTGGGACCATGGGGACTTACAGTACTTTTGGTACCTGCATGGACCCTAGATGGAAGGAAGAGGGAGTAAGAATGAGAAAGAGAGAGGGTAGAGATGGTGACGTGTGCGTGTGTGAGTTGTGGGCGAAAAAAGAGAATGTACGCGTGTGAAGAGAGAGGGTGATAAAGAGAGACACGACGAGAGTGAGCATGAGAGGAGGGGAATAGACACAGAGAGGGGGCGGGGTAGTAGAAGGAGGGAAACGTTGACTTACCAGATGATGTTACATAGCTCAGGTAGGTGACGACGTTGATATGTGGAGGCACCTTCCTCATGATGACGGTCTCGTGGTACAGGTTCTCCTTCTCGGCATCAGTAGCTATGTCTGTGTATCAAATAAATAAAAATTATTAATGTTTAACATTTACACTTTATTCGTCAGAATAAAAACGTCATAAGTTGTAGAACTTCATGTGATTTAATACTCGATCAACTTAGATTGTGTAGTTTGTCTCTTTCAACTTGTCATACTCTTATATTACGGATAGGGTTGAGTTTACCGGGTATCATCAGTATTTCATTGTGATTCATAAACACGTGGACACAATCACTGGATTGTCTGGTCCAGACTCGATTTGTTTACAAACACCACCATACAGCTATAATACTGCTCATAGCAATACATACATGTCCTAATGATATATACAGAAATGATATATACAGTTTTCAGCAGAAATTTCTTGCGAATGTAGAAAAATGATGTTATCGCTTCTATTTACTGGATGTCATTTAGGATTAATATAAATATCTCAGTTTCAGAATCAGATGGGTATAAATAGCAATGCCCTCACCGGTCATGCGCTTAGGGTATTTTGGGGAATAGAACGGACATAACAGAAAAGTTGTATTCTCAACTAACCTTTGCACATTTTTACCGCTACCAGGTCCCACTTTCCGGTTCCGGAAACATCCAGTGCTTCCGCCTTCATCACCTTCCCAAAGTTCCCTGCGCCGAGTGTGTCCAGGAAGTGAAGTCGATCAATCGGAAACTCGTCACTGTGGGCGGGGAACTTCACATAGCGGGAAGCCTGCCGTGACGAAGGTCATATGAACATTGTCATCAATGTGGCATGTTAGTCATTCGGCAAATGCTACATTTTTCTCTGCAGGCCCGAAGTACTTTGGCATTTGTAACGGAGGGTCAAGAATGTTGTGACATAGGAGAAATTACAATAACAGTGGCAAACACGTTTCTACATCCACAAGAAACATCTGCCGAAACCAGAGTTCCTGTTGTTTAACTCCCCCCACGACATTCATGTCCTGAAAACATATACCAGATTTGGTTTCGCTATTTATAACGGTTTCTGAGAAAATCTGTCAAGAAACGCATGCCAAGGGCAATAACTCTGTAACAAATTGTAACACGGTTTCTGTTTTCGAACTCCATCGATGCATTCATGTTTTAAATAGACATACCACATTTGGTTTCCCTATCTACAAAGGTTTCTGAAAAAATCTGTCACCATCGGGGATAACTGCACTAAGTCAAGAAACGCACGACAAGGGCCAAAACTCTGTGGCAAATTGTAATACGGTTTCCGTTTTCAAACTCCACCAAGGCATTCATGTACTGAAAGCACATACCAAATTTGGTTTCCTATCTATAACGGTTTTTGAGAAAGTCTGTCCCCATCATCTCTGACGGACGTACGGACGGAAGGAAGGACGGACGGATGGAGCTCAAGCCAATATACCCCGCCCACTTCCTGGCGGGGAATAATAAAGAAAACTAAAGAGTCTCGCGTATCTTTGTCAAAGCTTCAATCACATCTATAACAACACACACTTACGTGATTGTACTTTGCTAGTTCAAGACGAAACTTGATGGACTGTTCCAACTTACGCTTCTGCCATTTCTGAAAGAGAAATGAACGGTAGATACATACTGCACCCACTACCTAAACCATGTTTGTTTGTTTTTAAGGCCTCACTCAGCAATATTCCAGCTATATGGCGGCGTCTGTAAATAATTCAGTTATCAACATCGTGACCATCATGTGTCGACCAAGTCAGCGAGCGTGACCACCCGATCCGTTAGTCACCTCTTGCGACAAGCATGGGTTGCCGAAGACAAATTGTTCACAGGTATATAAATCACTTTACACTGAACGTCTCCATATCTGTCGATTCCTCATATGGGTATAATGTGTGAAGCCCACTTCTCGTATCTCCCGCCGTGATATTGCTTTAATAATGCTAAAAGCGGCCTAAACTAAGCTCACTCACTGAACCACCAATATTCGTGATCGGCCAATCAAACTCAATTTTTCCGTGAAGATACAGTTTTGAGGCAGTAAACTAGGAATGGTCAGTGTTACTATCGTCCAAAAATGCTGATGTAATTTGATTAAAATGTCATTTCCACTGGTATCTTACCTCCACTAATTCCAGCAGTCTATTTAGCTACAATTATATGTATAAACATCACGGCTGCCTTCATTAAAGTACAATACATCCTTGTACAGATATTTTCAGACCCATTAAGATCCATTAAGATAATTGATCTCCAGTAACCAATGGTTGTCGTAAGAGGTGACTAACGGATCGGGTGGTCAGACTCGCTGACTTGGTTGACACATGATGCTCACGATGTTGATAACTGGATTATTTACAGACCGCCGCCGTATGGCTGGAATATTGCTGAGTGCGGCGTAAAACTAAACTCACTCACTCACTCCAAGATTTCATCAAGGGGTATCCCTATAGTGTCCTTCACGTTCCTATACAAGAGGTATTACGTTTGTAAATGCCTATCGGCTATCAGGACCAATTAACTGTTGAATTCCTTGTTAAGTCTTCAGCTTTGTCGTGTTATTACTTTTGTTGTTCTTATATGTATACATATATGCGCTGTCCGTGTACAAGCACTGATGTACCTGACCAAACCGGACACTGGATTGGAAACAGTCTACCGAGAGCAGGCCATATGTATAGCGAGACCCAAGACAACTGGAAAATCTATTGAATGATTGTACAATTAATGTTGCTGGACGTCAGTTCTCTTCCTTCTCTACGTGCCTTTGACAATCTTTATAGCAGAATATATTATTAGAATGTTAGAATGATGGCTAAAATTTCGTTATAATCGCCAGCAACGAAGAGTATGATACATATCCCCCTGCTCTCTCACTCACTCACTCAAAAACCCATGCACCTATGCACCCACTCATCCACTCACTCAACCACCCATCCACATAACCATAAGCTGATTACCTTCTTCAGCCACTTCCTTTCCTTGTAAAGGATACAGAGTATAATGAGTACAGTCACAACTGTTACCAGTCCAAGGATCTCGGCCAGGTAAAGGTTCGCCCCAGAAGGAGGTCCTACGTCGTATTCTGCACAACAGTTTCAATTGAATTGAATGTAGTAATTTATAGAATTGAATATACGAAAGCCTAATCCTGCCATCATGAATTATTTTTGAAGCATGATTTCTGGTTATTTTCAACCCATTATAATATTAGAATTTTCACCATGACATTCGTACAATCGATCATTTTCTCGTTATTTTACCCGAAATTTCTATTTGTTCTCTTTCCTTCTGGTCTTTCTCTTTCTTTACTTCGATCATAATCAAAGCTACAAAAAAATGTTCGAAATATGGAGCTTTTAAAGGGCGAAAAAAATACCGAAATTTAGAATACACAATCAAAATAAAGAGAATAAAATAAACAAGTAATTGAACTATCGACCAGTTTTAGTTCAACATGACCATTTATGCTGCAGAGGCACTATTCTGTGTTCGTGTCAAACTATCTTGACATGAAATTCCATTCATCATCATTTGAAAAAGGATTTATGGTTATATTTCTGATGATAAAAAATATTTAAACGTAAGGAAGATCTTCTGTGTACTTTGTATCAATATTTCTTTGGAAAGGGAAGAGACGTCAGATTGTGTCTGTTTCAGTTTCTAACAAAACAACGTCCACTCAAGTTTTAATTTTCATTCCTATATGCAAAGAACATTTAATTCTGTTAGATATTGTGTCTCGCACTTTCGATCTGGCATTATATTTATATTTTCGAATCTCCCCAAACGATGTATACATACGTTTTTTTCGACAAGCATAGTTTGTTGTGAAAATACATTCTTTCTCGAAATCACGGTGAATTAATGATGAAAAGAAACATACAAAAACTTACCACTTGGCTTCCGTGAAACATAAAAACTTATAGTCCTTCTTTCACGTGCATTGTTGACAGTGAAGATGTATGTCCCAAGTAGCATCTCCCATGTAGTATTGCCGTCTGCGTACCGGCTGAGGAGTGACGTTTTCTCATCTAGTGTCTCACGAACGTCATCGTTTTCAGAAATATGTTCCCACATGATATGTTCTGAGCTTTTCAAGTATGGGTCTGTAAGGAGTTGCACGTGCAACGTAATGTCCGCATTCCCAGCCTTGATCGAGAGGTTTGTTCTTTCTGCGCTGAGTTTCATTGGTTCTGAAACGAAGGAAAGGTTTCACTCTGAAGGAGTTCAAACTTCGTTTTGTCTTTGCCTGGGTCAATGTATTGTAAAATGGTTGTCTTCCTGTGAGGGTACGCAAGTGTCAAAACGCTCAAAGTAAATTTCGCTGTATCAAACTTTATAATCCTAGTATACGCGTCGTGTTAAATGATGGCTAAATTCGATTACAAATACCAGCGGCTGAAGGGGTGGTGTAAATCCAGCTTGGGTCCATGCAGGTAGCAAAACTACTGTAAGTCCCCATGGTCCCTAGTATGTTGATCTACCTTAACACATTTTAA